TCCCCACATCCCCCACCCCCGGGCTTAGTTGGCTAACACTGTATCGCTTGTAACCTAGTCGTGTTCCCCTCCTCTCCCCCATCCCTCTATTGTTAGTCCCTCGCTCGGGCACTTTGTATTTCCATATCAGCTTTGTCATCTTTTTTCTGGATTCCCAATCCAAAACATCTACTAATAAAAGTCAATCTGTGCTTTTCAAGGGGACTCAGGGAGTCTGTGTCAAGGATGGGGGTTCTAAGCAAGATGCCCTTCCATGAAACATGACAAGCACAAGGTGATGAGGTAGCTAGCGCCAGTCCTGTTGGTAGTCAGACACTTCACAGCAGTTGCATGAAAATGGTCTAGAACTGGCCTATTGTAAATGATAATGGTAAAATTTGTGCTATTTTTAGTTCATAGGAAAGTGTAGCTGGAAGGGACTCCATGAGGTCAACCAGTCCAGAGCCCTGCTCCAGGCAGGGATATCACTGACTAAAGCAAGCAGCTGTTTAACCTGCTCTTGAAAGCTTCCAAGGATGGAGATTCCACGGTTTCTCTAAGCAGCCTGTTCCAATGCTTAACCATCTTCCTAGTCAGAGGGCATGTCTAAACATACAGCCCACTGCACAGTTGTTACTGCACAGTCCCAGTGGCACATGTGTTGTTTCTGACCCTACTACACTGTAGCAATGAGCTACAGTGGCATTACGGTTACTGCCCGCCGATGCTAAGTTGCCATAGTAATGAACTATGCTGCTGTAGCTCATCACTACAGCAACATAGCATCTTATGTACACACACCCAGGAAGCCCCTTTTAATTTCCCATGCTGCAGCTTAAGAGCATTGCTCCTAGTCCTTTCCCCTACAGCCACACAGAAAAAAGCATTTCTATCCTTCTTGTAGTTGTCCTTCAGGTATTTGAAAACTGTTATCAAATCCTGGCTTGGCTTTCATTTCTCCAGACTAAGTAACTCTAGTGCTTTCAGACTTTACTTTTAAATCTTGCCTCCGAGGCCCCAACTTTGCTTGTGCCTAATGGTTCTGTTGTGACTCACTGGGCATGTCTACATGTGCATTTAATGAGGAACCAGTTTCTTTGCAAATAAACTACTTGCAAGTAAATGGTCCCAGGCATGCATAGAATCATAGAAAGTCAGGGTTAGAAGGGACCTGAGGAGGTCATCTAGTCCAACCTCCTACTCAGAGCAGGACAATCCCCAACTAGATTATCCAAACCAAAGCTTTATTTAGCCGGGTTTTGAAAACCCCCAAGGATGGAGCTTCCATCACCTCTCTGGGTAACCTGTTCCAGTGTTTTACTACCCTCCTACTGAGAAAATTCTTCCTAATATCTAACCTAAACTTCCATTGCTGCAAGTTGAGACCATTGCTTCTTGTTCTGTCATTTGCCACCACTGAGAATAGCCTAGCTCCATCCTCTTTCAAACTCCCCTTCAGGTATTTGAAGACTGCTATTAAGTCTCCTCTCAGTCTCCTCTTCTCTAGAATAAATAAGCCCAGTTCCCCCAGTCTTTCCTCATAAGTCATGTCCCCCAGACCCCTCACTATTTTTGTCATCCTCTGCTGGATGCTCTCCAATTTGACCACATCCTTTTTGTAGTGGGGGCCCAAAACTGAACACAGTACTCTAGATGTGGCCTCACCAATGCTGAATAGAGGAGAATAATTACTTCCCTTGACCCACTGGCAACACACCTACCAATGCAGCCCAGTATGCTGTTAGCCTTCTTGCCAACAAGGGCACACTGCTGGCTCATATTCAGCTTATTGTCCACTGTAACCCCTAGGTCCTTTTCTGCAGAGCTGCTGCCCAGCCAGTCAGCCCCCAGCCAGTGCTGGTGGATGGGATTGTTCTGTCCTAGGTGCAGGACTTTGCACTTGCAGGGACATGGGAGCAGATTTCCTGCCCCCAGCTGCAAACTGCTCCCACATTCTGTGGCCTTGCAATGGGCCTCTGCCACCACTGGGGGGAGCTCAAGACTCTGGCTTCAGCTGCCAGAAGCTGGCAGCCATCTGTAAAAGCCCCTCCTACTCACTACTCCTTCACCAACCACTTCCGTGGCCAGGAGCAGCATGTGCAGTGCAGGGGCAGAACACAGCAGCTCTCTCTTCACCACTTGTGTCTCCCTGCACCATGGCTACCCTAGCCCCTGGCAGCAATTATCAGTGCCCTGTGGTCCTGCTGGCTGCTCTGCTGGCCCTGCTGCTCTGACTGCTGCACGACCCATGACTTTCTGGCCCTTCCTGGCTCCCCCATGTGCAGTGACCACCTGTCTGGTTGCCGCATGCCATCCCAGGGCTACCAAGCATATGTTACCTGGACCCCATCTACTTGGTTGGACCCAGGCAGGGACACCAATGATGGGCTGCTGGATGCCACTGCCACTGCTTCTGGGCCCACCAGGCCAGCCAGGACTGGTGGCTGCATGTCATCCAGCAGACCTGGGATGACAAGCAGCAACTGGAGGCTTTCAGGGTCACTTGGGCCATCTTCCAGGATCTCCTTGAACAACTCTGGCCACACCTGGAACAGCAGGACAGGAGCATGTGGCCACTCCTCCCCACAGACACCTGACTGGCCCTCACCCTACTAAAGCTAGCCATACCCACCAGCCTCCACTACGTGGGCCATCTCTTTGGTGTTGGCAAGGCCACCACTGAGGAGGCTGTCTTGGAGGCGGCATGCGATGCCCTCCAGAATGTGCTGAGGGACACGGTGCTCCATGCATGACCCCATGGTGGTGATGGCAGGGTTCTATACCCAGGGATTCCCCCAATGCATCGAGGCCCTGGGTGGGATCCACATCTCCGTCACCTGCCCACCCCATGGTGACTAGCCCTACTACAGCCGGAGGGGCTCTCACTCCATGGTGCTCCAGACCATTATAGATTACCATGGGGTCTTCACGCACATGCGTGACAGTTGGGCAGGCAGCACTCATGATGCCCATGTCTTCCAGAACTGCCCTGCCAGCCCTGATGCAGAACAGCCGCTTCGTGCCAGGAGTGCCAGACCTGCAGCTGGGCGCCATGGTGGTCCTGCCCCTGTCCTCAGCAGGGACCCTACCTACCCACACCTACCCTGGCTCATGTGGCTCTACACTGACCAGCTGGACCCCCACCAAGCCAACTTTAACTGCTTCCTGGGCCAGACCCACACCTTGGTGGAGTGCACCTCAAGGGTCTTTTATTGGTGGTGGGTGGGGTGAGTGGTGATGGGGCTGTGTTGTGGGGGCAGAAGGGTGGGGAGGAGGCTCTGTTGTGGGGGAGGAAGCTCTGTGTTTGTGAAGGAGAATAAAGTGCTTTGCTGAGAATTGTCTGCAGTAAGTGTGGTGCTAGGGGTGCACAGTGGGGCGGGGGTCTAGGGCTGGCCGTCCAGGTGGCCTATGTGCAGCCACTAGTCTTGGCTGGCCTGGTGGACCCACAGGCAGTGGGGCTGGAGGCCCATGATGGTGGTGTCTGGGTGCATGTCGTTGGCATCCCTACTGGGGTCTGGGTGGCAGTATGGGGTCCAGGCAGTGGCAGCAGCTTGATGGCAGGAGGCCTGGGTTGGAGCAGTCAGCTTCTCCAGGTGACCACGCCACACAGGGGGGCTTCCAGGCCCAAGACTGACCTAGGACAGATAAAGTTTGCCATGGTGGCACAGCAGGGCAACCAGGGTGTCCAGAAGGAGCCTGGGGCACTGGATGTTGCTTCTGGAGCCTGCGGGTGGAGCAGCCATGGCGTGGTAAGCATAGGCTCCAATAACAGATTTGAAGCATGCTCACAAGGAGCTCTGCAGGCTGATCTGGGCCAGGAAAGCAGGTGACCAGGGAGTAGCACGTGGGGCTGACTTTTAAACATGGCTCCCAGTTGCAGGCAGGTATGTCCAGAGCATCCATCTCCCTTTGGCTGCTGCAGGGCCGCAGGCGGTGAGAGCAGACTACTACCAGAAGCAGCAAAACTTCTTCCAGATCCCTGAATGTGTAGACACCTGCCCAGTGTGGGTTTACTCCAGAGTAAATTACTGTGGAGTAAAACTACCCAGCAGTATTTGCACATGTAGTCACACCCAGTCAGTTAATAAAGTGAATTAAACAGCAAGTGAATGCTGGAGGAAAATCACCAAGTCAGGTGGATTGT